GGGGGGGGGGGGACACTGGCTGTAATCCCAGCACTATGTGGGGGGACACAGGCTGTAATCCCAGCACTATGGGGGGGGGGGGGACACAGGCTGTAATCCCAGCACTATGGGGGGGGGACACAGGCTGTAATCCCAGCACTATTGGGAGGGGGACACAGGCTGTAATCCCAGCACTATTTGGGGGAGGAGGGGGCGCACGGCAAGTGCAGTCATTAATTTAAAAAAAAAGTATACCTGGAATACACAGTAAATTCTAGGTCAACCAGAGCTACAAGACAGGAAAAAAAAAAAACCCAAACAAAAAACAAAACCTAACAAAGAGGAGGAAGGGAGGAGGGAAGGACGGAGGGGGAGAGAGAGATCAGAAGATTAAATCAAATAAATAATTTTGTTGTTGCTTTTAATAATTCTGGTAGGATCTCAGAAAAATACTGCAATGATAGTAACACAGAAAACATAACAAATCTTAAAATAACTGGCAATCTTTTTGTGGCTACTTTTTTTTGTTTGGGAATCCAGAGCAAGCGAATCATAGAAGTCAATTATGCGCAAACAGTAACAAGTAACACCTCTGGAGCGAGACTATAGCTCAGGGGTAGAATGATTACCCAGATAGATGTGCAAAGTCCTGGGTTCAGTACCCAGAGCTACAAACAAGAGGTTTTGGGAAAAGTTACTTAAATCTCACAATTAATCTACTTAAACCTACAAAGATTTTACTTGTAAAAGTACACAACCATGTATCAGATACAATGCTTAAAGTACAAGTCAGTGAAAAGCTACATTTATAAAAAAGAGGCCTACAAAGTAGTTCCTCGTTGGGGTCAAAAAAGTTTAATCTCGCCAGGCATTCGGGAGGCAGAGGCAGGAAGATCTCTCTAGTTCGAGGCCAGCCTAGTCTACAGAATGAGTTCCAGAACAGCCAGGGCTACACAGAGAAACTCTGTATTTGTCAGCAGTAATTAAAACCCTACCAAAATTTGCTTTTCTAATATTTAAGCCAAAGGCACAGTCATTCTTGAAAAAAAAACAAAGCAGTAAGGATTTAAGAGTTTCCACTGTTTTGTTTAAATCTTACATCCCTAGTCATAAATAATAGAAGGGAAAACACCATACAAACCAATGGCATTTTACTAAGGTTCTCATCCGAACCTTGGAATTTTTAATATGGTTGGGTGTTATTTGAAAACAGTGAATACATGAAATGCAATTAAAAAAAAAAAATACGAAGGAGAGTAAGAGGCTAACCGTTACAAACTCTGGCAACCAGACCCTTTCAAAGGGATCAGGAGACGTAACAGCTAGTTCTAGGCATCCGAGGCCGATGAGACCGGAAAACCGTACACGTCTCACGTTCTCCAGCCTTTCAAACCGTGAAGTCGAGCCCACAGGGCAAAAGCTTTCAAACTACAGTCACGTCCACAACGACCTGTCAGCTACACTACCAAGGATTCCGAGTGGCCGGTCTTCGTTTCAATCTCTCTGATCGGTTAAGCTAGGTACCACCATCTTTTTGTTCTGTCCAACCACCGCGCTTCCTTCCAAGTCTTTGGCGCAAGCCATTTATCTTCACCGATATTTTTCTTCACAAAGGCCAAGGACTGGGCCTCGGAGGCACTGCAAGCCCTGGATGATCAAGGCGGGCCGACGCACCGACTTTTAAATGCGATCGGTGGATCCAAAAGTCAGATGACTTGTTGCAGACCTAACCAAAACCTAAGCAGCCTTTCCCCCAGGGGACCGGCGAGCAACGACCCGGGCGCCACGCCGAAACCTGTCGCAAAGGCGAGCAGGAGCCCAGGGAGAGCGGGCGCGCGGGATACAAAGGGCTGTGAACGCGGCCTTCCATGAGGCGACCGTGCGCGGACAGAGACACAAAATGGAGCGGCGGGAGGAATCGGAACCCGAAGCGGCAGGGCCGGGATGGAGGCGGCGAGCGCGCGCCCGGCTAGGGCTTCCCCCTCAGGCCGGCAGCGGGGGAGGGGGCGCGGCGGCCCGTTCTCCCCGCCCCGCACACGCGGCCTAGCTCGGCGGGAAGCGCCCGCCACCGAGCCAACAATGGGGCGGGAGGCCGTCCTGAGGAAGGGGCGGGCGGGCGGCGGCGGCTGCGCGGCGACCCGGCCCCGCGCTCCAGAGCTCCGCGGCCCGCAAAACGACGCGCGAGAACAAGGGGTGAGGGGACGTCGCGCACGGCGGCGCGGCCCGGAGGCGCCAAGGGCGCACGGTCTGCAGCGAAGCCGGCTCGCGGCCCGCGGCGGCCCTGGTCAGCCAAGCGTCCAGGCCGCGGCACCGTCCGCGTCGGCGGCGGAGCCCCGGACCCTCACGTACCTGGTTGAACTCTTCGCCCACATCCGCGTAAATGTCTATGTGGTCCACACCGTCCGCCATCTTCCCTCGGCCTCGGCCGCCGCCGCCGCCGCCTCCTGCAGGTCGGCCCGCCGAGGCAGCAGCAGCGGATCTAGCGGTGGGGGCGGGGCGCTCTACGTCACTTCCGAGGGGCGGAGACCAGGGCGTAGCGGCCCGCTGGTGCTGACGGGGGACCCTGCCGAGGGTCCGCGGCGGTTCCGAGGCGCTAACTAGTTCCTTTGTGTGCAGGATTGAGCCGCGGCTGGGGCAGGGGCGTGATTGCCTTGTGCTACCCCGCCATCCTGCATGCAATGGAACCCGCTTCTTTCCAGAGACTGTCTTTTCAAACTGCTTCTGGCAATATATATAAATATAAAGATATGTTTATATATATTTACGTTTTCATTTTTTCCTACGGTTTTAGTTTTTTGTTTTGTTTTGTTTTTTTGTTTTGTTTTGTTTTTTTGTTTTGTTTTTGTTTTGTTTTTTTTGCTTCTAAGGCTTCGAGAGATGGGAGCTATGTGTACGCAATTAAAAAACAAAATATGATGCCCCGGCCAATGTCTTATTTTTGCTTCCTCAGACAACTGAATTTTGTGGTTACCTCGAGCTATTTGCATATTGCACATTTGCATCTCTTATCTTTATGGAGTTGAAAGCGTCCTTTTGCTTCTTCTCTCCTCCTCCTCCTCTTCCTTTCTTCCCCATTGCCTTTACTTTTACCTTTTTACGTCTGTAGTAGGTTTTCTCCAGCCATCGTTCAGAGACTTCTACCCTCATTTTAGAGCACACACAACAGAGTAGATGTATCCTAAGTCAACGAACTCCTGGATTCAGAATGCTGAGCTAGAAGGGAAATTAAAAAGGTAGCTTGAGGTCCAAACATCCCGTTTTACAGATGAGAGAATTAAGGCCTCATAGAACATAAGTGATTTAACTGGGGTTACAGGGCTTGTAGAGGTACACGCCTTTTGACACCGATTTATGATTCAGAGATCTCTCGCCATTTCCAGCGGCTCCACCTATTTCTTTCCTTCTCATTTAGAAACTCACCAGGTCACTCAGCTGCCTGTGTGCTTGATAAATTCAGCTTCCTCCCCACCCCAGTCCTCCCAACCCCCCACCCCCACCCCGCTTTCTCAAAGAGAATAGAGAGAACTGAATCAAATCCTGTTAAATAGTCCTCTGATCTACCCAGCACCTCTGGTTAACCCCGCCTCCACGCCCACTCTGCCAAACAAATTATTTAATTAACATTTATTTTTTAAAAAAAAAAAACCCACCAGCTGCAGACTGGTCTGAAATCATCAAAAACCCAAAGAAACATCTGTGCTTGCTATGGCTGTAAAAGCTTGGTTGCAGTCACACAGACTACTCTCTTAATCTGAATAAACATTTCTTTAAATATTTTTTATACGTTGTGGTGTTTTTTGCCTGCATACAGTCTGTGTGTGTACTTACACATGTGTGCAGTGCCCTGGGAGCGTAAAAAACGGGCATCAGTCGACTAAGACTGGTATTAGACAGGGTTGTGAACCACCACATGGGTGCTGGGAATCAGACCCTGACCCCGGAAGAGAATCCAGCGTCACTGACCACGGTACAAACGGGACTTAACGATGGCCTCCACTGTTGAAAAGTCCTAGACTCCTAATTTTGTGTAATTAGAAATCAAATGCATGCTGAGTAGTAGTGATCCGCACCATTAATCCCAGCGCTTGGGAGGCAGAGGCAGGCGGATCTCCACGAGTTCCGGGCCAGCCTGGTCTACAGAACAAGTTCCAGGACAGGCAGGACTACACAGAGAAACTCTTGTCTTAAATACCAGAACAAAACAAAATAAAAAGTCAAAAACGCAGTTTTATCCCCTCAGCTCCATTTTGAGATCTGATAACTCCCTCGACAGCAGACTCACTCTTCATACAGAGGCCCCACACTTTCTACTTCTCTGCCAGATGATTGCTCACACACTGTCTTGAGAATGTTTTGATGTCAGGCAGTGGTAGCATTCGGGAGGCAGAAGCAGTTGGGTCTCCAAAGTTCGAGTCCAGGACCTATCCAGTCCTGAGTGAGTTCCAGGACAACCAGGATTACACAGAAGGACACTGTGCAGAAAAAACTAAATAAATAAATAAATAAATAAATAGACTATTTCAATTATTTTTTTCCAAATGTAACTTCAGAGTACCTTTTTACTTGACAGATTTCAAAATTTAAAATATTTGTGTAAATTACAAAGGAAAAATATAATAACTCAAAATACATATTTTTTCTTCCATTCTCCTTTAATCCATAAACACCTAGTGACAAGTTGCATGAATCATTTCTTTTATGAAGGCAAAGAAGGGTATGGGAAAGGTTTTTTGTGCTGTGGGGGTCGGCGAAGGGATAAGGATTTCGGAACTAGTCCAGTCTCTCCACAGCTTTTACAGGACTATGTCCCGCGCTTCTTTTTATGCTTACTTATGTACTTACTTTGTGTGTGTGCATGGACGCGTGGTTATCTCCATGCCGTGGCTCGTGGATGAATGTCAGAGGACAGCTTTGGGACTCATTTTCCCTGGTTCCACTGTGAGTATCTTAAGGGACAAACTTAGGGAAAGGCTGCCAGTGTGCCTTTACCTACTGGGCCATCTTATTACCTTCTACAGACCAACATTTTTGTTACATAAAAGATTAGAAACACGGTTTTGTTTACTCAAGCTGAGTAGCCAAATAACCCTAGCGAAGTCTTCCGTCTCATTTTCCTTCCTTCTTTCTTTCTTTCTTTCTTCCTTTCTTCCTTTCTTTCTTTCTTTCTTTCTTTCTTTCTTTCTTTCTCTCTTTCTTTTTTTTTGGGGGGGGAGGAGGTATTTTTGTGGGTTTTTTTGAGACAGTTTCTCTGTGTAGCCCTGGCTGTCCTGGAACTAACTGTGTAGACAAGGATAGCCTCAAACTCAGAGATCCACCTGCCTCTGCCTCCTGAGGGCTAGGATTAAAGGCATTGCGCTGCCACTGGCTTCCAGCTCCGCTCAATTTTTGACGGAGGTTCTAAAATCTTTTTGTCTCAAGACTACATAGTACAGAAAGTCCACATGTCTTTAGAAGAAATTCAAAAATAGTAAGTTACATGTTGCACACAGATGGCCTTTCACCTCCCTGCGTTAGTTTCATATTGCTACTGTAACAACTTAGCAACAATGTTAGGGACCAAAGCAATACAGATTTTTTTTTTTATCCTCAGTTCTAGAGGTCAGAAGCTCAATATAAGTTTTACAAGGTTGTTCCAGTTACTTTTTCTGTTGCTGTAGTAAAACACTCTAACCAGAAGCAATGTAGGAAAGAAAGGGTATATTATTCAGGGTTCTTTGGAGTAACAGAATTTATAGAATGACTCTCTTTAAATATATAGAAAGGAGATTTAGTAGAATGTGCTATAGATTGTGGTCCAACTAATCTAACAATGGCTTCCTATGAATGGAAGGTCCAAGAATCCAATTCAGACTCGATGTCTGGTCTTCAATACATACCAGAATCCTGAAGAAGTAGGAATGGACTTGCTATCCATCTGGGAGAGCATGCAGGCAAGGGCAAAGCTTCCTTTCTCCATGTTCTTATATCAGCTTCCAGCAGAAAGTGTGGCCCAGATTAGAGGTGAGGCTTTCTACCTCAAAAGATCGGGATTAAAATTTGAGTCTTCCCATCTCAAATTTCTGGATTAGAAGTGGCTCGAAAGATTTAATTTAATTTAATTTAATAATTTAATTTCATCGAAGATCCCTCACAGGTGTGGGACAATACTTTGGGGGTTTAGGTAATTACAGATGGAGTCAGCATGAAAACCAAGAATAGCCATCACAGAGGTGACAACCAAGAACAGCCATCACAGAGGTGACA